ATCAGTCACAACACATGACAAAGAACAAAAATCTTACATAATTAAATGAGAAGTCACAAAACAAACAACAAACAGCAACAACAAAAAATCCTGAACAAGGGAGAGAATCTGATTTGCAGGGTTGTGAAATTTAAAACCCCTATTTTAAGTATGTTCAAAGAAGTAAAAGGAACCATGTCTAAAGAACAAAAGAGAAGTACAAGAATGATGAATTACCAAACAGAGACTATAAATAGATATCATTTAAATGAACCAAATACCATGACATTTTTCACAGAACTAGAACAAATAATCCTAAAATTTATATGGAACCATGAAAGACCCCAAATAGCAAAAGCAATCTTAAGGAAAAAAAGAACAAAGCTGGAGGTATCACACTCCTAGACTTCAGACTATACTACAATGCTACAGTAATCAAAACAACATGGCACTGGCACAAAAACAGACACATAGATCAATGGTGCAGAATAGAGAGCTCAGAAGTAAACCCATGCATGTATGGTCAATGAGCCTACGACAAAGGAAGCAAGAATATATAATGGAGAAAAGACAGTCTCTTCAATAAGTGGTGCTGGGAAAACTGGACGGCTACATATAAAAGAATGAAAACAGAACATTTTCTCACACCATATATGAAAACAAACTTAAAATGGATTAAAGACCTAAATGTAAGACCTGAAACCATAGAACTCCTATAAGAGATTGTAGGCAGACAATTCTCAATTTCAAAACTTACTACAAAGTAATCAAGACTGTGCACAGAGACAGACATGTAGGTCAATGAAACAGAATTTAGACTCCAGGAAAAAACCCTCACATTTACAGTCAATCCATGTTTGACACAAGTGCCAAGATAATTCAATGAAGAAAGAACAGTCTTTTAAACAGTGGTTCTGAGACAACTGGATACCAATACAAAAAAATGAAATTGGACTCCTACCACATACCATATAAAAATTAACTAAAAATGGATTAATGACCTCCTAGATAAGGCCTAAACTAAAATTTTCAGAAGAAAGGAGAGGCATAAATCTTCATGACACTGGATTAGACAATGGTTTCTTAGACCTGACACCAAAAACACATGAAGCTAAAGAAAAAAATAGATAAATTGGACTTCATCAAAGTAAAAAATTTTGTATATCAAAGGACACTGTCAAGAAAGTGAACAGACAACCCACAGAATGGGAGAAATATTTGCCAGTAATTTATTTACTAGAAGTCTAGAATTCAAAATATATAAAGAACTCACAACCCAAAAGACAAATAATCCAATTCAAAAATGAGCAAAGAACTTGAATAGATATTTCTCCAAAGAAGATATACAAATGACAAGCACATGAAAAGCTGGCCAACATTATTTGTCATTAGGAAAATGCAAATTAAAACCACAATTAGAAAATTAACAAAATTGCAAGCAGAAATTGACAAATGCCACTTATAATGGTTGGTTTTAACATATCACTGAAGTGACAAACAGGTAAAAGTTTGATGAGAATAAAGACTTGGGCATAATTAACAAATTTGATCTAATGGACCAATTTACAATATTATGGTTAATAATTACAGCATCTGGAACCTTTTCAATCACAAATGTGACAGAAAAACTAGACATATGGTAAGGCATAAATAATCTTAAGAAATATGACCCTGATCTTATACCGACCACATAATCTGACAATAGTCAGGTACAATAAAATTAGACGTCACAGGAACAACAACAACAAAAAAAGTCCAGTGCAATTTGGGAGTCAAAATAATTTAAATTAGTTCAGGAGGTGAAGAAATACAAATGGAAATAAAACATTTAGAACTGAATTCCATATAGTGTGATGTATTACGAAAATGCATAAATAAGTACATTTTAAAACTTATGGGATGCAGCTAAGGCAGTAGTTAGAGGAAACATGGTTCTAATTTGTATATATGAAAAAAATGGAAATTAATGTTCTATGTGTTCATCTCAAAAAATCAGAACAACAGAATTAACACAAGTAAAAGGAAGAAAACTATAAAGATGTAATCAATGATAAAACAGAAAATGAAAACATAAAACTAGAAGGCCACTCTTTTAAAATACTAAGATGGAAACCTCTAATAAGGCTAATAAGGAAAAAATATTGCATACAAAATAATTTTACAAATGCAAAAGGAGAAAAAAGTTAAACATAGCAGAGGTTTTTAAATTACAAGAGGATGTTATAAAAAAAAGTATGGTAATAAATTCAAAAACAATGATGAACTGGAAAATTCTTTGCCTCAAAGTGACTCAAGAGGGAAAACAACCCAAAAAGTCCAATAACCATTAAGGAAAATCAGTAGTCAAAAAAACCTAGATTCCAAAAAATCAACACCAGGACCAAACTTTTGCAGAGACAGAAGAGAAGAAAGCATATCAAGTTTAAAAATTGGAAAATAAAATATAAGACAGCATCTTTAAGATAACTGTACAGGGAAGGATTTTTTAAAAATAATAAAACAAAAACCATAAACCTTGAAGTAACCTAGGTAACTTATAGCAGAGAGACAACACAATACTTATAAACACTGAAAAATTAACTCAACCAAACAAATGCAAATTAAAATTCTATGAGATACTGTGTTGTATCCATTAGATTTGCAAAAAATTAACAAGTCTGATTGGCAAGGAGATATTTCTGGGTAGAAACATAACACTGGTACAACCATTCTGGAAGCCAGTTGGGCAACGGTGGTAAGGCTGAAAATATGCATGCCTTATGACCCGGCAATTCCACTTCTGGCTATATAAACTGAAGAACTCTTCCAAACGTAAGAGAAGTGTGTAAACTTTAGGTTTAAAAGATAAATAAAAAACAAAAACAAATGAACACAAATAGCTTCTAATAGGGGAATGGATAAATTTTTGTATTTACTCAAAACATTAATAGAGAAGTGACAACAACAAATTAGAACTTCACATATTAATCTTGATATATCTCAAGAAATGTAATAAAAAAAGTAAACTTCAAAAAGTTACATGTGATACGACAGTATTTACTGGAAGTTCAAAGCATTCAATGGATACATAATATATAGTTAAAGCACAAAAAAATATATATATTACAGTTTAGAATAATGGTAAATCCTGAGTTGTGAGAAATTAGGAGAGGATAAGAATGAATTAATTTTATCTGCATATTTAATTCCTTTTTTAAAGAAGTAAATATGGAAACATGTTAACATCTGTCATTTAATAGCTAAATGTATACTCAAGTCTGGGTTTAAGAACACAAAAAGTGTTGTCAATTATCATCTATATTTCATGTTTGAAATATTCCACAATTAAAAAAAGAATTAGGTAAAAGATGAAGTTATTCATTAATAACTAGCATAGAAAAAAAATTTTTAATTGTATGGCCCTGTATTGTATCATGAAATATGTTTAATGTATTTTCCCCCTTGATTAAAAAAGGAGTACACCAGGGCTTCCCTGTTGGCTCAGTGGTTGAGAGTCCGCCTACCGATGCAGGGGACACGGGTTCGTGCCCAGGTCCGGGAAGATCCCACATGCTGCGGAGCGGCTGGGCCCGTGAGCCATGGCCACTGAGTCTGCACGTCCGGAGCCTGTGCTCCGCAATGGGAGAGGCCATGACAGTAAGAGGCCTGCGTACCATTAAAAAAAAAAAGGAGTACACCATAGAAAACTAGCTAAACAGGTATACCAAAAGGGGGAACAGGGAGGAGAGATTGTATCACCTTTAATCCTACCACCCAGAAGTAATGTCTACTATACATTTTAGTTTCTGTCAACATTTTAGTGTGTCATTTTTCAGGGATTTTTAACTGGTTGAAATCATTCTATAAAAATATTTTTTTGCATCTCACTTATCTCATTTGACATTTGAAGATAGTACTTCCTCCAAATTGTTAGCAATTCTCCATAAACAATACTTTTAAATACCTGAGATGTTTGGTCATATGTGAAAGTTAATCATCTTTTAAACTGTTGTTCTATTGAGCAAATGTTCAAAAGAGTGTCCCAATGGTTTTTTTACCGTAAATAAGTCAAGGATGAATATCTCTGTGCATAAGTCACTGTTCACATTTCTAATTTTAAATTAAATTCTGGAAATATTGGATATAGGGAATAAATAAACTTGATTCAAAGAGGTTTATATTCATTTAAAATGGTATATGACAATATTTGTGTTTTTGTTACTTCAACCGTGTTCCAGACTACATTTCACTTAACAGAATTTTTGCAAGGAAATCAATGCTATATAATTGTTCTTTTAATTCATACTTCTACATTAGAACTGACAGTCTTTGCATAATTATTAGTTTTTTTATTTTATAACTTGAATGGCCTTTTCATATCTTCTCCCCATATGTTTATTTCTATGAACTCTTTAAATATTTAGAATTATTATCCCCCTGTCGTGTTCATTATGAATATAATGCCCAGAGGCTTGACTTTTGTTTGTTGACATTCAAATCTTATATTTTTTATGTGGTCTTGTTTGCAATTATCTTCATCTGCTCTTTATCTTGAAAGATTTTATAATAATTAAACTTTAAAATCCATTATGTTTCCTCTTTCTTTGTCTCCATAAACCTGTTCTACTCATTGTCTACCCCTAACAATGGTGGCCAGCAAAAAACCCTGAAAGCCCACCTAAACACTTCCGTTTTGGGAAGGTTAGAAGAATCAATGTTACTAAGCTAAGTAAGAAGAGAGGCAGGCCCTTCTCTGGCTTATCACTCCCATGACCACCAGTCATCCTTCCTGAGACCACCTTCCAAACCACAGATTGGGATATGACTCTTGCTGTCATATGTATAGTTTTACACTTGATGAGGTTTCAATAAGATAATGTATTTGAGAGCACATTGTAAACTATAAAGCATTATATAAATATAATTATGAACGACCATAATAATAGCAGGAAGAAATCAAAAAATCAAGTTTTTATAATTTTTAAATTCTATTGTAGAAGGACTACAACATGAGATAAAAATAAATTCACTAGAAATCTCACCTAAGATCCAGACCAGCTTCTTTCCAGAGTAAATCCATCAAGCGCAGCATTTGGAGTGTCAACATATCCTGCCGTAAATCTAAGGGGAAAGAACCATGCTATATTATAAGTGCTTTCCACTTTATGCTTAATAACATTTATTCAAGATTAGCTAATTCAACCAGAATTAACTGGCTGGGAAGAAATGTTGACAAGTAACTGCTCTGTTAATTTTTTTCCAGAATTTTAATGCTGACCATATTCAATATGTTAAATACTAGGTTTGTTGGTTAGCATGCTCCAGTAACTATTTCAGAAATTAAGTTTAAAAATATTTTTAGTTGTTTACCATGTGCAAGCTATTATACTAATTGTACGGGTGCTGTAATACTGCTATAATACAGTAATGCTGTGTTACAGCATCCATACAATTCACATTGCTAATTTTTTTTTCTTCTTGTTTGTCTTTTGGGATGCAGAAGAAATTCTTAAGAATCACGTAAGTAACTGTATGATGGGTTCACAAAACTGTAATAGTTGATTTTATTTATTATCATGTCCAAGGGTAATTTTTAGGTAAGAGGTGGTGAAAGTACAGACTTCCACATAATGACATTTATACTATCAAGTGGGGTTAAATGTCTAGGAAATACTAAAACTTCTTTTAAAAATAGTTGTAAGCAGAGGAATGCATAAAGAAAATGTGGTAATATATACCATGGAATATTACTCAGACACAAAAAGGGACGAAATAGTGCCATTTGCAGAGATGTGGATGGACCTAGAGATTGTTGTACAGAATGAAGTCAGAAAAACAAACATCGTATAATATTGCCTATATGTGGAATCTAGAAAAATGGTACACATGAACTTATTTGCAAAGCAGAAATAGAGTCACAGATGTAGAGAACAAACTTATGGTTACCAAGGGGGGAAGGTGGGGTGGGATGAATTGGGAGACTGGGATTGACATATATACACTACTATGTATAAAACAGATAACTAATGAGAACCTACTGTATACCACAGGGAACTCTACTCAGTGATGTGTGGTGACCTAACTGGGAAAGAATCTAAAAAAGAATGGATATGTGTATACGTATAACTGATTCACTTTGCTGTATACCAGAAACTAGCACTATAAAGCAACTATATTCAAAAAAAAAAAAAAGTTGTAAGCACATACTATGCTAAACACATATACTTATGTTATCTCACTTAATTCCATTTAATAAACCCAACACAGAGATGCTATAATCCTCATGGACAAGAAGATCCTGAAGCTCAATGAATTTTATGTGATTTGCCTGAAATCACAAAACTAACAAGTGGTAGCAGTCATGACTGCCTTCTGGTTGGTGTGATTACTTCACAGGCATTTCCTTTATGAAGTATGGGTAAGATATTTTAATTAAAACACAAAACTATGGCAGCAAATCAAAATTGCTATCACTGAAACAGGATGTATGAATATATTATTGAAAATATTCTCTTGCATTTCAGAAGCTTTTTACCAAAAGAGTAGACAGCTTTGTATTTTGTAGGAAAAAAGGAAGGCTTATTAGAACAATGTATGTAAGTAAGCTGTAGAAATCATTCTCCAAAGCGAAAAAAAAAAAGGGTATTTATGACATGCCAAATTCAAATTTATGACCACTGATAGCTACCTGTTGGCTGCCATCTGTCTGTGATACATTTACACATAACCTTTCATATAAAGCAAATGGACAGCAAATGAAAAATACTAAGGAATTTGGCACTGTAAAAACCTCCGTACATACCATCACCATTTTTAAAAATCACTCCAACTGAATCCTCACCAAACACCTTGTTGTTGTACACCAGCCACAAAGGCTTCATTTTGGAATCCATGTATTTACACTTTTCAATACTGAAAGGAAGAAAGGGGAAAATTAGCCCACTTCAATTTAAAGATACGGCAAGAATGTAACGTTGCCATGATATACTAGGCTTGGGAAAACCCCTCACCTGTTCCAGGTATACAGAAGTCAGAACGAGAACATTTCCTCTTGGCAGAAAAGCAACCGCAATGCTAGCCTTGGCTGGCATGTAGTGACGCCAGGTGAGCTGGACTGAAAACCCAGATTTGCCCTTCTCATGGCTACATTTAAAATTCCTCCTTTCCTTCCCTTATTCTTCCTTAACTTTATGCTATTATACATAAACAATAAAAATCAGAATGTAACATTGGATTGTAACTCCATTCTTGATTTCTTAAAGAGGGATCAATTTTGCATACTGATATACTGAACATAATTATCACTTTCCCATTATTACTTTTGTAGGAAAAGTAAAAATGAGAAATAATTTTCTAAATTCATTCAAATATCTCATTTTGAAATAGGAAAGTTTAATTAGTAAATAATCTATGATGGGTGCCAACATTTTGCTTACATAGGATTTTCAACTCTTAGAAACCAGTAATATAGAAAGCAAATTTAATTACATACAATTGAAAGGAAATGAACTTGCATTAACTTTCACTAATCCCACAGGTAAATTTAGCTAGAAGGCATATGTCCTATTAACACAAGAATAACTTCTGAGAACTTTAACATTTTCCTTTTTTAATTATATTCCACTTACTGAGGCTAACAGATGTCCCTACTGCTCCCCTAAGGCAGTCACTCAGAAATCCCTTCTGCATTGCTATTTAATGGGAGATTCACTAAGCACAGTACAGAAGGTCACTTACTAGAGTTCTGAGAGGATAACACATGGGTTCAGAGGTGATTGCAGGTCAGAGAGGGCTTCCCGATAAGCATTCTGTTTTAAACAAGTGTGCATTGCTTCTTTCCCTTTGGCTCTATTTAGCTTCATTGCATTCAGTTTGATTAAACTATTTAAAGTTTTTAATTTATTGAGTGCTTCAACCTGAAAAATAAGTTTCCCCACCACCAAAATTCATTTATGTTAAAAATAATATCATGTGATAATATTAATCAATACCATTCCCTCACCACCCTCCTCCCCACAATACACAGGCAGGACAACCAGCTAACGTAAAAACAGTGCTTGCTTTATGACAAGAATATTAGATACACGAAAAAAATTAATTGTTACCTCTTGTTACTTAAAGCACCATTTTTCAAATGTTATTGAACCTTTCTTAAATAAAATCTTATAAATTAGAGAACAGTAAAGAGACATAGATTATAGGTAAGAAGATAATTATGAAACTACTCAGAACTCTGCAACTAACTGAGTAATAGAATTTAAAATACAATTAATCTGAACCACTGTAATTGGGCAACTCCATAGTACGAAAGGAAAATCTATGTACAAGTAACCCTGGGGTTGACATTCAACCTTACTACCTTTGTCATCACTCTGCTATAACATCTTCTCAGTATATTCTCTTTCCACTAAGAGTATAAAGTAAATTTTTGTGCAATAAAATAGATATGAATATAGACAACAGTAGCTATTGTTCGTCTAAATTAACTGGTTTTTATAATGAGGTAACTCTGGCTATCAAAACTTATACAAAAAAATAATCATGCAGGTAGTACAAGGGGAATCGACAATGGCCAACTGAATCAAAACCATGTGTTTGGGACTTCCCTGGTGGTGCAGTGGTTAAGAATCCACCTGCCAATGCAGGGGAAACGGGTTCGAGCCCTGGTCCGGGAGGATCCCACATGACATGGAGCAACTAAGCCCATGAGCCACAACTACTGAGCCTGGGCTCTAGAGCCCGCGAGCCACAACTACTGAGCCTGTGTGCCACGACTACTGAAGCCCACGCGCCTAGAGCCCTGTGCTCCACAACAAGAGAAGCCACCGCAATGAGAAGCCCGTGCACCACAACAAAGAGTAGCCCCTGCTTGCCACAGCTACAGAAAGCCCATATGCAGCAATGAAGACCTAGTGTAGCCATAAATAAACAAATAAATAAAACCATGTGTTTAAAAGTCAACTTTACTGGGCTTCCCTAGTGGTGCAGTGGTTAAGAATCTGCCTGCTAATGCAGGGGACACGGGTTTGAGCCCTGGTCGGGGAAGATCCCACATGCCGCGGAGCAACTAAGCTCATGCGCCACAACTACTGAGCCTGCGCTCTAGAGCCTGCGAGTCACAACTACTGAGCCCATGTGCCACAACTACTGAAGCCCACACACCTAGAGCCCGTGCTCTGAAACAAGAAGCCACTGCAATGAGAAGCCCACGCACCGCAACAAAGAGTAGCACCAGCTCACTGCAACTAGAGAAAGACCACACACAGCAACGAAGACCCAACACAGCCAAAAACAATAAAATAAATAAGTTTATTAAAAAAAAAAAAGGAAAGAAAAGTCAACTTTATTGTTTAGTAACTGGAGGTCTTTCCATGTAATATTATGTCAAATTCTGTAAGACCGAGCCTCAGCCAGCTATAAAACATAAAAAGGAATATTTTATTTTACCATTATGTCATTAAAACTGGAAACAAATGATAAAAACAGAATACATATATCAACATGTGAATTGTGTATAACAAGCATATAAAATATGTAGGCAAAAAAATATATGTGGGCACAAACATTATGAACACCATGGCTTGCATTTTGATGAACAGGAGATTTATTTTACACCATATTTTCATTTTTGAACTTTGCTTCTATGCAAGGAAACCACTAAGACTCTGCAGGGAGGTGAATTTGGCATGCAGTTTCTACAGACAGGCTGAGGGCTTGCTCACAGGAAACTGGGAAGGTTCTATGTAGCCTGGTGATAAAATTGAGATTGCTAAAGCTTGCCAAGTTAGCCATCTGTCAAAACCACAGACACCGCATTTCTCAACAATTTCAGGAGCTGTACAAACACTGGTGAAAAGGGAACTCGCTGAAAAATGGGCTATGCAAACAGGAACTTTTTAAAGTATTTCAAATTTGAATTTCTTCCATGTTTGTACAGTTGTGAATTTTCAGGGCCTAACCCTAATTATGTTGACATCCATTTCCTGGAACAGCGTTCGGAATACCCACATGGCCATAAGTCAAATACTTTAAGTGTTTCAACACCTTGTCACACTATAGGTTTACAGTGATAACAAGAACTGCCATGTAAAGGGTACAATCTTCCCCTGGCTGTTCATCAGTCAAAAAAAGAGTAAGAATAATGTGATCAGATATATGTCATATGTTTGCTGGTATAAAAGTCAAACTGAGGTTCCCAGAGAACCAAAAAAACGTCCAGTGTTGTCTGCTCATATGAATGAGGCCAAAGAAGTAGGGACCTCATCAAGTGGGGTCTTAACAGACTTCGTTAAAATTTGGATTTTATTCTCTATGCAATGAATATTACTTCAGGGATTTTAAAAAGGGAATACATCTACATTTTAAAAAGATCATTTTATCTGCTGGGTAGAGAATAAAGGTACGTGTGTGTGTGTGTGTCTGTGTGTGTGTGTGCACACATGCGTGCGTGCAGAAGAATGGAAACAAGGGACACAATTTAGGAGGTTAATGAAGACATCAAGGTAAGAAAGGATAGTGGGTTCGACAAGGATGGTAGGCATGAACACAAGAGAAATAGATAGGTATGAGATATCTTTAAAAGGACTAAAAAATTAAGGGGACTAATAGTATCTATCTCATATTCTTGTGAAGAATAAATGGCCCACAATAAGCGGTGAATAAATGTTAGCTATTATTACCATCATTAAAGGGCTTTCCAAAAAGGAGGGATCAGATACAGTTATTTTAACATGAATAAAAAACCATAAATATTTTTTTACAACTTTATTGGAGTATAATTGCTTTACAATGGTGTGTTAGTTTCTGCTTTATAACAAAGTGAATCAGTTATACATATACATATGTTCCCATATCTCTTCCCTCTTGCGTCTCCCTCCCTCCCACCCTCCCTATCCCATCCCTCCAGGCGGTCACAAAGCACCGAGCTGATATCCCTGTGCTATGCAGCTGCTTCCCACTAGCTACCTACCTTATGTTTGGTAGTATATACGTCCATGCCTCTCTCTTGCTTTGTCACTGCTTACCTTTCCCCCTCCCCATATCCTCAAGTCCATGCTCTAGTAGGTCTGTGTCTTTATTCCAGTCTTACCCCTAGGTTCATCATGACATTTTTTTTTCTTAAATTCCATATATATGTTAGCATACGGTATTTGTCTTTCTCTTTCTGACTTACTTCACTCTGTATGACAGACTCTAGGTCCATCCACCTCATTACAAATAGCTCAATTTCGTTTCTTTTTATGGCTGAGTAATATTCCATTGTATATATGTGCCACATCTTCTTTATCCATTCATCCGACGATGGGCACTTAGGTTGTTTCCATCTCCGGGCTATTGTAAATAGAACTGCAATGAACATTTTGGTACATGAGTCTTTTTGAATTTTGGTTTTCTCAGGGTATATGCCCAGTAGTGGGATTGCTGGGTCATATGGTAGTTCTATTTGTAGTTGTTTAAGGAACCTCCATACTGTTCTCCATAGTGGCTGTATCAATTTACATTCCCACCAACAGTGCAAGAGTGCTCCCTTTTCTCCACACCCTCTCCAGCATTTATTGTTTCTAGATTTTTTGATGATGGCCATTCTGAGTGGTGTGAGATGATACCTCATTGTAGTTTTGATTTGCATTTCTCTAATGATTAATGATGTTGAGCATTCTTTCATGTGTTTGTTGGCAGTCGGTATATTTTCTCTGGAGAAATGTCTATTTAGGTCTTCTGCCCATTTTTTGATTGGGTTTTTTTTTTTTGTTATTGAGCTGCATGAGCTGCCTGTAAATTTTGGAGATTAATCCTTTGTCAGTTGCTTCATTTGCAAATACTTTCTCTAATGTTAAGGGTTGTCTTTTGGTCTTGTTTATGGTTTCCTTCGCTGTGCAAAAGCTTTGAAGTTTCATTAGGTCCCATTTGTTTATTTTTGTTTTTGTTTCCATTTCTCTAGGAGGTGGGTCAAAAAGGATCTTGCTGTGATTTATGGCATAGAGTGTTCTGCCTATGTTTTCCTCTAAGAGTTTGATAGTTTCTGGCCTTACATTTAGGTCTTTAATCCATTTTGAGCTTATTTTTGTGTATGGTGTTAGGGAGTGATCTAATCTCATACTTTACATGTACCTGTCCAGTTTTCCCAGCACCACTTACTGAAGAGGCTGTCCTTTCTCCACTGTACATTCCTGCCTCCTTTATCAAAGATAAGGTGACCATATGTATGTGGGTTTATCTCTGGGCTTTCTATCCTGTTCCCTTGATCTATATTTCTGTTTTTGTGCCAGTACCATACTGTCTTGATTACTGTAGCTTTGTAGTATAATCTGAAGTCAGGGAGCCTGATTCCTCCAGCTCTGTTTTTCGTTCTCAAGATTGCTTTGGCTATTCGGGGTCTTTTGTGTTTCCATACAAATTGTGAGTTTTTTGATCTAGTTCTGTGAAAAATGCCAGTGCTACTTTGATAGAGATTGCATTGAATCTGTAGATTGCTTTGGGTAGTAGAGTCATTTTCACAATGTTTGATTCTTCCAATCCAAGAACATGGTATATCTCTCCATCTGTTTGTATCATCTTTAATTTCTTTCATCAGTGTCTTATAATTTTCTGCATACAGGTCTTTTGTCTCCTTAGGTAGGTTTATTCCTAGATATTTTATTCTTTTTGTTGCAATGGTAAATGGGAGTGTTTTCTTGATTTCACTTTCAGATTTTTCATCATTAGTATATAGGAATGCCAGAGATTTCTGTGCATTAATTTTGTATCCTGCTACTTTACCAAATTCATTGATTAGCTCTAGTAGTTTTCTGGTAGCATCTTTAGGATTCTCTATGTATAGTATCATGTCATCTGCAAACAGTGACAGCTTTACTTCTTCTTTTCCGATTTCGATTCCTTTTATTTCCTCCTCTTCTCTGATTGCTTTGGCTAAAAC